GAAGTGGAAACACAAACTGCCACCAACACATGGAAAAAGCACCAGTCTCAAAAGGGATGAGGGATAGGCAGATTCTGGTCACAATGAGATGCTGCTGTCAGCCATTATACTGGAAAAAATATGAAGGCTGTCAGTATAGTGTGGACGAAGATGTGGAGCTTGGGGGCTCTTATAAAGAGTTGGTAAATGAGTACAACTGTTTTGAAAAAAATACATTATTTTTCAAGTTGAATATGTGCACAACTAATGACTGGGAAATTCTACTTCTAAACATATGCCTTAGAGAAATTCTTATAGGAATATTCATAGTAGCAATGTAATAAAAAACTGGACAAAAATGATTGTGAAGAAAAAAGTAAATAAGTTGTAGTATAGTCATATTTTTAGAAAGCCTGAGAACAAGCAAAATGAAACTGCAATATTTAGACATACATATAAATGTAGGGTATGTTAAATGTAATTCAGGATCGTACTTGTCTGGGAATGAGGCAGAATTAGGTAAGAGCCTACAGGTAGCAGTGCAGGACTTGGTGATACTCTAGTTCATAAAAATACGGCAGTATTTTCACAGAGACGCGTTTTATTATGTTTTGTAACTTAAACATATACTACATATATCATTTTATAAGTATCATATTTGATATAAATGAAATTTCAAACCTCTCTGATTGCACTATTTTCTCTTAAGTTTGAATTTCAATTCACTACTTATTTTTTGGGTACTATTTGACAGTCTTCCTAATTCAGCTGCTGAGAAAGCTTCTAAAACATAATGTTTGTAAAGAATTTATTTGAATTTGATCATCATGCATTAATATAAAATAGAATGCATCCTATAATTCCAATTTGGTAAACAGAACTACCTCTATAAAAACACCTAGAATCCATATTATGCGGCAGTTACAGTGCAATTTCAAATCTCACTTCCCTGGCCTCCCTCCACTCCAACAGCAGGAGATCAAGAAATCAGGCCTTTCCTGGGATCCTCCTCCCCAGTCATTCCTTTTAGGAGTGTTTTTGTGCAGGGAGATGTGTAGAGACCAGGAAACCTCCTACATAACGGGAGCTTCTGGTCCAGTGACAACCATTCTTTGTTTTCCTTCGCCACTGCCAACCGTGTCACTCTCCCTGCTGCTGTCAGCAGGCTGTAAGCCATGCCAGCCTGCGTTGCGTGGCTGCACCCTGAGCACACACAGACCACTTTGCAGTCCACTCTTTGCCTCCTCCTGGCTCAGTGCTTTTCTCTTTCTGGTTTTCAAAGAAGCTTTCTTGTTTTGTTTCTTAGGGCTGACACTTGATGAAGGTTCCCGTGGCAAATTTTGGGGGCTCTGAGTGACACTTTCCTTATTATCCTTCAATACTGGGAGAGGATAGGGAAGGGAATGAGAGGCTGGGAGCTGGAAGTTGGGGCTTGATTATGGGGATGGTCATGTGTCCTGACTGTTCTTGGATCCACTGATCGCTTCTTTCTCCAGGTTCTGCTGCTCAGTTGGCTTCGTTTTCCAGTATTCTCTCTCATGGTGATTTGCTCAGGGGGCCTTCGTATTTCCACTACCAGTGCTTAATTGAATACGACTCTTAGTTCATTGTATAGATCTATATATACGTAAAATACATACCTATCTCAGGGCACCTGGGGCCCATGGCAACCGCTGAATCTGTTTTAGTGTCCCTGACCATTCTATGACTTTGGAAAGCTCCTGATTATTCTGTGACAGTTAGAAGGCTGTCTACCCAGAGTTTACAGAGGAGTTTTAAGAACTGATGCTACCCAACGCATCAACCTAGTATTTCCCATCTCTGACCTGGCCCTGAATAATACTCATTTGAGCTAACCAAAAAAGAAAATGGTGGTGGTAGGGGAACAATATACCAACAATATCGATAATGGTTATAGAAGGGGAGAGATCATGGATGACTTTTAGTATAATTTTTACAATTTTTTTAACTTTTTAAATTAAAAAAAAATGGACATGTGTTAATTTTATATTGACAAAAACAAGCCACAATAAAAAAACAAAAAAAAACCTCTGAGAATCTATCATGTTCTCAGAACTTTGCCCAGTATTTTCTGGTGGTTACTGCTGTTAGAAATGTAAAATAATTCGCTCTGTTTAGAATCTTTCATTAAGACAGAAGCATCCTTAAGGAGATCATTCTACTTCAAACTTAATTTAGGATATTTACATTGAGTCTCAAGCAATGAAACTTCTGTTCTTTTTATTAGACTTTCACAGTATAAAATTTTTTTTGGATTTATTATCATCTTCCCTCCATATCTGTCTCTTTAGAATGTCACACAAAATGAATTCTCTAACAGTAATCTCCTAGGTGTTAATACCTAGCTACAGAATGGAACTTATCCCCTTCCATACACATGACATTGTTTCTGGAGGCCTCTTATCAAAGCAAATTCTCTTATTTTCTTATTAAAAGTTGTTACTTTCAGAGAAACAATAGATAGTCCCACACATATGACTAATAAAAGCCAGACATCTGATTAAAGTGAATGACAGAAATGTGAAATTCCATAATTATACTCCCCAACTCTCCTCCCTGCTGTCAATGCCAAGTAACTCAGTATTATTGAATAAGTGGTCCAGGAACAAATGAAAAACTTTTTTCTTTTTCTTTTTTTTAAGAGACTTGATTTGTGACTAGCATGGAATATTGGGAGTTCAAAAACAAACAAACAAACAAAAGTTTCTCCTCAATGATGATTTCTTAGATACCATAAAGCATGAGTTATTATGTTTTTTAAGGTTATTTTTACTATGTCTGCTTTCAAAAACATATAAATGTATCCTACTCATCTTTTTGATCCAAATATTTATAGATTTGATTTCCAAAGTCATATACCTGACAGAATCAAAATTCATAGAAACATATATTGAGTGTTTATTATAGATTCTATTGCATGGAATTTTACCAAAAAGCCTATGAGCCAAATAGCTTTTATACCCTTATTTTATTGAAGAGGACATTGAGGATAGAGAGTGAGATACAGACCAAATGTACCTGGCTAGCTAGTGACAGAATTGAGAGTCAAACTTCAGTTGTCTGAATCCACGGTCCATGTTCTTATAACCACTAGACCTAGCTCCTAGGCAGATTTTAGCTTTTTAACAACTGATTTCTAAATTCCTAGTACAAAACAGTTTTGCCATAGCTATTCCCTACCCTTACCAATCTATCTACCTATATTATTTATAAGTATCTACCTTAAAAAAGCCTGAGGTACATTGGATTATGTACTGAATCATTTTGCCCTCTATCTGTGTTGAGGTCACCTTGCAAACTGCCCTGTAACAAAATTGAGTGCATCCAAAATAGGGCAAACCTGGTGGTATGATGTAACAGAGTCCATTTTCCCTGGGCCTCTCTCAGTTTATACATCATGTGCACTCTCAGAGCCTGCATGTGGGCTACAGGGTCACTAATATATTAAGGCTAGAGAGGAATCTTCACAACAGAAACTGGGGATGGATGACATGCCTGACGCCGGAGAGGAGACAAGATGCAGACTAATAAATCTAACAGCCAATGACAGCTGAGTGGTGACAATGCAAGCAAGGGGGAGCTGGCCAGTACTCACGAGGAGTAGTACGTGAGCCCAAAGAATGGACTATGGTTTCAAAACTCCAGATTTAACATAAAGGGCGGGATCAGCTGCAGACATCAGGCCAGAGGCCAGCATGTCTGGCAGCACACTTCTGAAAGCCAGGCTGAGACCAGGGAATCCCCTTTCTTCAGAAAGATGGATAGCCTCCTTTGTACATGCCTAAATTCCATGTTATGAACAGAGGCAGGGGAAGGTATGAAGATACATGACAGAATTGTTATGTGAGGAATATGAACACAACCCAAAGGGTACTTCTTAAATCAGACTACACTTTTAATTTCAGAAGAATAATTGTCAGCTTTTACCCTCAAGAAACAGCTGATAGAGGCTCGGATAATAACGGCCAGATTAGTTATGGTCAAAGTCAAATAAATTAATTCTTTGCACATTCAAGATGAAGGATGGATTATACCATGTACACTGGTGTTTACTGAGAATCCCTTTTTCCCAGGCCCTGCACATGCATTATCTCACTTAATTCTCACACAAACCCTCTAAAGGAGGAGCCATTATAATTTCCATTTTAGAGAAATTGTAAAAGAGGCTTTGAGAGGTTAAGTAATTTGCCTAAGGTCACATTATTAGCAACACAGCTGGGAGAGAATAGTTGATTACTTAATTAAATGTTTTAATTTTAAAAGTTAAAATACATTTTAGATGAATTGCATTTCTGAAATTTGAAGATGTTCAAGAGGAGACTTCTGAATTAGAAAGAGTCTACCTATGAAGGACTCTTTGCTTTCTAATTTGCATTTGAGATTTTGGTCTGCAGGCATATTTTTAAAGAAAACTTAAGCCTGAAAGGAGCAGTAAGAATTCTGTCAATTTTGGTGGCGACGAGATGGAAATATGTGTTCACTAGAAAGAAACTTTCAGTACAATTGTAAATAGAAGGTCTTTAACCCCTTCCCTCCACTAAGGAATTCTCAAAGGCAGAAGTCTTCAAGGTATGAACTTCGAGTTAATCAAGTCTTTAACTCTTGTCCAACAACATAAAAGCTATGTAAATTGGTGACCACTTTGAGCTCATTTTCATAAAGTTAACATGGCAACATGTCAAATAAGGGTTAAATGAGATAACATATGTGACATACTGAACTTGGTGCCTGCTCATATCTGGTGCTCAAAACTGTCAATTTGCATCTGCTTATCTCGTCTGCTTCTCTCTCTTCCTCTCCTTTTTTGTGAATATAATACTATCTAGTTCTCTATGGTTTATCATATAGTCAAACAATCACTTTATATCCCAGGTTTCATTTTATTTTTATATTTCGAAATGCAAACGTGCACTTGGATAATTCAATACCTGGGGTTATAGAGACAAAAGAAATAATCTCCTACAGCGTATTTATAAAGTTTAGAAAATGCATTCGCTTACCAGCTCACTGAATTCATTATTGCCTAGGTCAAGTCTTTCCAACTGGGCCAGTTTGTGCATTGACCTATAACAGATGGAGAAAAATACTATTGTCAGGCAGTCCATGACACATTGCTCCAAAAGACATTCCACCCACCCTCTGTCAGATTTACCTGGCTTTATAGTGCACAGAAATGGGAGTATTTTATAGAGAGGTGTAAACTGCAAATGTACAACAATATATGCAAACTGCCACCTGCTTATCATATTTCCAAAAGCCATGGTAGGAATACAGAGCCGGCTGCTTAAAACAAATGCAGGAAGCTTGTAATTATCTGTACCAGTAGGAGGTATAGGGCGGGTCCACAACATCTACATTTTTAAGAATTTGCACAGATTTGGGAACCAATGGGTGAAATCAATTCTGAGCAAAGCATTCTAAAACCCTTCAATAGGGCCATCATTTTATCATCAATCTTGTCACTTTCTACTTCCCTAAATAAACTTCTGTTATAGACAGATTCTTGGATTCGTTGTCTCCTAAAGATATTGGCTGGGATACATCTCTGTAAAACAGTAAAACCTTTAGCAAGAGTTGGTGCCAAAAGCAGAGGTACATTGGCCTGTGACACATGTACTCAGCACTTCTTAAGCCATTCTCAAGTACAGCATACCATGTAAGAAAAGAGAGTGTTTTTCTGAGTTCCAAGTTTTTTTTTTCCTCCCACTAAGCAGAATGCTATCCTTAAGTCCTGACTATACAGAAATTCAGGAGGCATCACTGACTCAAAAGTTGGAAATTTTAGTTCCTTTATCTTTAAAATGGCTACTGTAATTATCTCATAGTGGTTTTTTTTTTTTAACATTAAAATACTACTATAATACAGACACTGTCAGGCACTCAGAAATGCAAACATGTGTATACCCGTTGTTCATTCAGCAACTATTATTGAAAGATTATGCACCAGTCAATCTTTTGGAGTTTGGAGGACAGCAGTAAACAAAAGAAACAAAAACTCTTGCCCAAAGGGATTTCACATGGCACTGGTGGGAGAATTACAATAAATTACAATAAATAATTAAGTATAAGTACTAAAATAATTAAGTATAATAAAATAATATATTAGAAGGTTATAAGTGCTATGGTGAAAACTTCACAGAAGAGAGAGATATGAAGAATGGATATGGTTGATTGTAATTTTTAATAGGCAGATCCAGGTAAGGCCTTATTAAGAAAATAAAATTTGAACCAACTCTTACAGGAAATGAAAGAACATGCTAGTGCATGAACTTTAAAGCAGGAATTTGTTGCTTCTCTGAAGACATTCTAGAAGACTGTGTGGCTAAAGCAGAGTGAGAGATGGGGGGAATAAAGAGAGGATAATGAAGAGTTAGATGATATTCAGTCTTACAGCCCCATGTTAAGATGTAGGCTTTGATTTTGACTTAAGATGAAGGGTCACTAAAAGGTTTTGAGCAAGGTTGTGACTGAAGTGACTTATTTTAAAAGGATATCTGTGATTGCGGTCTTGTAAATAGACTGAGAAGGACAAAAGTGGAAGGCAGGAGATCATATACAAGGCTAATGGAAGAAGCCAAATGAGAGGAAATGGTAGCTTGGAGCAGGGTGGTGGTAGTGAGGTGGTGAGAAGTGGTTGGCTTCTGAACATATTTAAGATTAGAGTTAAATGTTCTGTTGCTGAAATGTCTGTGGGGAGTAGGAGAAAGTAAAGTCAAATATAACTAAAACTGTGTTTTGTTCTGAGCAACTACAAGGACGAATGAAGTTGTAATTGATGGATAAGGGAGACAGGGTAGAACAGGATTTTGAGTAGATCAGAACTTTGTTTTAAATGTTTTCCACCCCACCGCCACACCTTGCCACAAACAAAAAAGGTAAATATTCGAGGTGATGGAGGTGTTAATTAACCAGATGGGAGGACTCCTTTCACAATATATGTATACATCAAATAATCACCGTATAGACTTGGAATACCTTACACTTATTTGTCCATTATACTTCAATAAAATTGAAGAAAAAAAATGTTGAATTTGAGATTTCTATTGTAAAGTCAACTAGAGATGTCAAGCACGCAGTTATATACACACACCTAGAGTTCAGAGAAGTCCAGGGAAGAGAGATAATTTGAGCATGGTTGGCAAAGAGACAGCATCAAGTCTTGAGAGTCTGAGATAACTAAGGGACTAAGTGTAGATGAGATCAGAATAGGTCTAACATGACATGAAGATGAACCAACAAAGAACACTGAGAAGTGACAAAGGACAATCAGAGAAAAACCAGAGGAATGTGAAATATGGGAATCAAGTAAAGAAAGTGTTTCAAGGTGAAGCAAGTGACAAAAACTGCTGATAGATTTGAGAACTGACCACTTGACTTAACAACATGAAGACTGATAGTCACTCTGGGAAGATCAGTTTTCTGTTTTAAGCCTTTGCTAATGACATAAATATATTGATTTCCTATTATCTCTCAAGTTTTAGGGTTATCAAGATGAAAAGTATTATTAATGAGTAGCTCATAAACTTGAGAGAGATAGCTAAGACAATGGGTAATTTTTACCCAGTGGAATAAGTGTCATAGGAAGTATATGTGTGGGTTTCTAAAGAGCACAGGGAAAAGTACTTTCTCAGTGTTGGGAGTAAAAGTCTCCACTGACACCTCATTTTGGAACACTGATCAGGCAATAAAATCAGAGGACATGGTCTTTTTAGAAGGAAATATCAAAGGGGTGTGTTGAAAGAGATCATGGCCCATTTCAAGGAACTATAGGTTAGTAAAAACAATAAGAAAAATAGTAAGAAATAAGAAATAATATGTAGGCAGCAGTCATATCATAAGGTCATCCATGTCAAGCCAGGGAGTGTGGTTTTAGCTTAAAAGCAATGGAAGACTTTAGAATGTAGATTGGAAAGATTTGTCAGATTTGTACTTTAGAAAGCTCACTCTGGCAGCTTCAAATGGTGTGAGAAATGGAGGGAGGATGTGCTAGCAAAGGGGCCAAATAAGACTGTCCTGAAATGGATGTGGGATATAACTGGGGCCAGAAAGAAGACAAAGGGAATATGGACAGCACTGTGGGCAATGAAAGGTGCTCTGCTGAAGACATAGCTTGGTAATGATGATGACTGACTGGGTGTGGGAGGTAAAGGAGAGGAAGGAATTTAAAATAGCTTCGGATTGAATACCAGTGGGGGAAGACTGGAATGGAATTAAAGCAAAGTGTATGTGTGTGTGTGTGTGTGTGTGTGTGAGAGAGAGAGAGAGAGAGAGAGAGAAAGTTGGTGGTAGAGGGAGAGAGCCTAGAGCTCAGGTAAAGGTCTTGACTGGAAATAAAAATTAAAAAATAAACAAGGGATATTTTTTGTCTATTCCACCTGAAAATTATCCCTCTTTTTTAGCTCACACACCATTTGTTTTCTTTTTCATGATTTACTTGATATTTACCACTTGCTTCCTTGAACTGTCCATTTTTTTTCATATGTATATCCCTCCTTTCTCCACTCAGATCTTAAAATATGTTTCAAGGTGGCCAGCAGGGCTTGTGTGGGACCACTAGTCCAAAGATGGTTTTGAAACTGTGGCCACCATTGTAAGAAAAACATCTGCCTCACCTCTTGCCAGATCTATACCACTGAATAGGTGCTTCTAGGAAAGCGGGTATTTGTGGCTGGGCCCCATGAAAAGAGAATTGGATTTTCTTCTGAGCCTGGGAAAATTGAGGAATGGCAGATTCTTGCAAATCTTGCTCCTAGACCACACAGCCCAGTAAGAACATGATGAGCACCAAAGCCTTGAGAGCCAATGTGAAGGACCAAGTAGCCATGTGTGACAAATGAATGAGAATCAATCAGAGGAGTACCAGAGTCACTTGCATCAGACTTAACCATGTAGCCTTAGGCAACAAATATTCTAGTAAGAACCACCATGAGCTGAAGACCAAAGGCGTTTCCACAATTTCCTGGATTTATGAATTCTGTAGTTCTCACTGATCCCCAAGGAAAATATCACATAAGCCCAAGAATAATTTTTTCCCCAGCTTTATTGGTGGAAAACCAAGAAAAAATTAATTTTATTAAATAAAGAGATGGGGATGTTTTATACCTGAGTGTCCTAAAACAAATTTTATTCATTCTAGAATGTATATTTTCTTTATGTTAAATAATAGTGACTTCTTAAATCATTCCTGGATTTCCAGGCCCCTAAACACTGTGATTATATTTATCAATATTTCTCATCCAAAACAGGGCCAGCTCAAATCTGGCACCTCTGTTTTTTTGTATGTAAAGCTTTATTGGAACACAGCCATGCCCATTTGTTAACATATTACCTATAGCTGTTTTTTTTACCACAGCAGTGGAACTGAATAGTTGAGACAGAGATCATAAGGATCACAGAACCCAAAACATTTCCTATTTCTGAGGGCCAACTGGCACTCAGAATTGAACACTACTCTCTAGATGTGGGCTGATTAAGACAATGTATTAAAAAAAACTATTATTTCTTATCTGTATCTTATGTGTAGTATAAGTTTGATTTCTATTGTGAAATGATAGATAGCTGCTATGTCACTGCTAAGCATTTTTCTCTTCCTGTGCTACTTAGGCTACTACTTCTGAAACCCTTGGTTCAGAAATTCATACCTAGAAACCATATTTTAAATGTATAACACAGTTTCCTACAATTCCTTTGCCATTCTTCTAAATGGACAGTATTTTTCCTTTTTCCTTGTTGTAGAACAAAAAAAGACATCCCCATGAGGTTTTCTGAACTTTTCTTGAAGCTTATTTAAGTTTTGTTATGTAAAATAGCATTTTTTAATCTTAATTTTATCTTAGTTTATTTTTCTGATCCTTGTTTCCATCAGTGTTTATTACTGTCACCAAAGTTTCCTTCCATTATTATGTTCTTCTGTTTTCTAGTTGTCTTTCCAATACATGATTTCTTATATTTTATATCTTTAAAATGATTATACTCTTATTTCTGTTTTTTGAAGTTATTATTCAATATTAGTTCTTACATTTTTATACCTTTAAAATTGACTGCCTCTACCCACAAGATTTTAA